ACCAGTATACTCAACTCTATTCATGCTGATTTCTACTCTTGTACACACTTGCTGCCCTTAACACTTCAACATGTATTAAACTGCAGCCTGTACACCAAGGAATACTGAAGAGACCTTATCACAGATGAGGCTACAGTTCAGTCTCTGTACAGCCACCATCCACTCCACCCACCTCAATTTTCTGCTGTTAATAACAACATGAACATAACCCAGTCAGCGATTACATTGCTACTAGAGGAAAAAAATTAGTAGTATTTGAATGCAATTTCTAGAAGACAGCGTTGTGCTTTCACTTTCAGTATATTGCCTTATACAGTCAACAGTCTCAATTGGGAAAGTGAGACTGTTGACTGTATTTACCTTTACCTTTATTTACCTTTACTTTAAATAATTTTAACATTTGGGACACTATTTAAACATGATAATTATTAAAGCTTGTCTTTCTTTCTTTCTTTCTAGTCTAAAAGACGTGTCACCACATCATTCACTGATCCATCTCATATCACAGAAACAACCCTGAAACAGCTTTAAGTTTGGAAAATGCTGTGAACCTGTGAGGTCGTGATGCTTCTCTTCTCTGCTGCTGATTTTCTTATTGCTGCAAGTTGAGAAGTTTCTCATTAAAAACCTGCTCAGTGCTCCTTTAATGACATCTCCACAAACTTAGTTGCACATCCATGTTGTTGGTATGTGCACACTGCAGCAGATTGCTGTCAGCACTGTGTTCTGACTGCAAGAGGTGCTGCCACAGCCAAGTGCACACAGCTTGCTTGTGTCACATTCAATTATGGTTCCTCCACTTTCCATGAGACAGTAATTGAGCCTGGGGCACTCCCTCTATTTAAAACCACAGGAGTTCTGCAGTTCGCACTGTGTCCCCTGAAAGCTCCATCTTCACTGATTTCCACCAGCAGAAACCTCCCTCTGGGACCTGGTGGGGGTATCGCAGAGATGGGGTAAGCTGCAATTGGGCCGGGGTGCTCCAGGCACTTTTGGGGCAGTCTGACAACACTATACCAACACACACCACCCAAAAATCTTCCACCCACCATCCCCACAATGAGTTTTATTTCCCATTGACCAATCCTCAGTCAAGGTTGCAATCAAGGTAGGGTGAAACAGAAAATCTCTGCCCAACTTGCACTGGCTTTGTTGATCTTACTTTTATAAAAGTATCTCAAAACAAAAAACTGTGTGAGGGAATTTTACAACTGAGAACATAAAATATAAAAAGCCAAACAGGAGCTGACCAGCTTAAGAGCCATGGGCCAAAGGCTTGCTGGGATGGCAAATTTTCATTTTTAAAAGGCTAAATTGTAAAATACTTTACATATCAATTAACATATCATGTTATGTTAGGACTCATAGTGTATGTTGTTACTAACAAATGGAGATAATGTAATTACCCAAAAGGGTAGGTGCGGCCCCACCAGCTGAGGCCACTGCAGGTTGCTTGAGAACACTGGTTTCTTCCTGATTCGGTTAGGTCAAGCCTCTTTCCACTCACCACTGACATGAACTCAGACTTACATCTTGGACTGAACTATGGTCAACCTGCATGAGAATTGTGGGCCAGGAATATTGCTTTCCAATACACAGCCACTAAAGCCATGGTCTTTCAGCTCCTATTGGCTTCCCTCAAGGGCCGATGCCCAGATGGGTAGCAGGGCAACCTCCAGTTGACACTGAGCCCCCTGATGCCAGTCCTCCAACGGAGGTCACTAGTTCTCCTGTCAGGTGTTGCTTCTCCTCCTCTACTGGTGCCTCTTCAGTCTCTTGTTCAGAGCCCTAGGCTGGACCTTTTCTTTTCCTCTGCCGTCCTACCTTCAGAGGCCAGGCTGCCACCTCTTGCTTTTTCAGCAGTTGCCAGGTTATCTGGTCCTTTCCTATCCTTTACAGGCACCAGGCTCCTCCCTATCCATTCAGCCTCAGGTACTGGGTTACCTGTAGCCCCTCCCTACCCACCCTTTTTGGCACTTGGTTTTGGGGGCATGTGGGGTATGAAATTATTTGACAAATCATAACTTCTTTCTGGTATCACCCCTGATCTTTCTCAGGCCACTAATCCTGTATTGAAGCTTCCACTACAGCTTCCCCAAAAGAAATCCCTGACTAACTTACCAACACCACAGCTGCTGGACATAGCAGGCTTATCTTCTATAGATATGATCTCAACCTCGAGACACTTAACCAGTCAGTCTGCACTTATCTGTTAGAAGGTTTTGGGGGTCTACCAGTGCCTGAGAGTGGCACAGACCTCCTCAACCTTCCCCAAAGCTATCAAACATACAAGCAACCAGTTATACACAAGCATTCAGTATCCTTATAGTTCATTCATTCATTCAGTCCTTATACTATACATTCATACTCAGTGAGTGCATGTCCCTGCTAGTGAAATGGAGATAATGTAATTATCTGAAGTTTGGGAGCAGGACCTGACCTGAATTATACCTCTTACATTGTCACACTATTTAACCCACTCAAACTTCATACTTCTGCTTTTTGTTATCCCCCTGCATTTTGATATATTCTTAACTTTTTTCCTTCTATTCTTCTATCTGGGGGTCTGCCAGTGTCATGGAGTGGCACTGACCTCCTTAACCTTCCCCAAAACCATCCAATGCATAAGCAACCAAGTATTCACATGCATTCCATATACTTGTAGGTCATTCAATCATCCTTATAGTTATATTCATACTTAGTGAGGGCAGATCCCTGCTAGTGAAACTAATCAACCATGCAGGTCATTTGTCCATACCCTCTGGTATGATTTGGTTGTTAATAAAATGGTAGCATGCTGGAATATCACAATAATAAATGTGGTTACTGTAAGGCAAGGGCCATGGTTTGGTTAGGTTTAGAGGAAGGTTTCTCTTAAAAACATACTTTATTAAGGTTAGAGGACTTGTATGATCAAGGTTACAATAATAAAGATTAGTTAAGGTTATGAACCAGTGCTGATAAAAAAAACAACTATCAGTTCGAAATTAAAGAAACAGCAGTCTCCCATGTCAAAGTCTCATGTTTGTTGACACATTCATTCACCTCAGCCTCTTTTCCATGTGGACTTTTTTACTGTATATACAATAAAACCTGACCTTTACTTTTGCTCCTGTTATAAATACTATGGCTCCTAGAGGTTGCATCGCAATAAAATGTATCAAAAGATTATAACATGCTTTCTTAGTGTTGTTTTATTTTTTTAAAGGAGGACAGTCTCTGAAAACAATTTTGCATATTCAGCACAAACCTTCCTCTTTAAATGAAGACTATATACTGTAAAATAAAGAATTTGTGTTCTGCCGTTCTGCCCTGCACAAAAGAAGGTAATCAACAGAAATGCAACAAATCTGAATGTTGGGAACTCCCATAACAGAAACCACAGAAGAGCTTTGTTTGAAATAACAAGGGTCTCATCACCCAGTATCCTATAATGACTCCCTCGCTCTTGCTCTGACACTTAGAAAGATGAAACGCAAAGATCCAAATCACATTAACACAAGCTGACTTATTCATATTTAGGCAGATTTCAGTCCATAATGTCTCAGCTCAGATGTTCCCTGCACTTATTAATACATGAAAGAAAGGGCCTAAGACTATAAATGTGACATGAAATTTTAAACACTCCTGCATTTTTTGTCTTTCATCTGTTTTGAAGGAACTGCCCTTTGCTGGTGGATTAAAACATGGCTGCCAATGAGCGTGAGTTAAACGACCAGCACTGGTTAAGGACCACCCTCCATGTTGAAGAAACTCATAGCCTCTTTGTAGATGCTGCTCTTTTTAGTGCAAATCCACAAGCGTGCTGATAATTGAAATGATTTGCTTGACATTTTTCCCTTTTAGGGGAAAGAATTTGGAGACATGATCAGTATATTTTCCATGACCACTAACAGGACAACCAATACTCAAGTTCTCCTTATGGTTCCTGCAGGGAGAAAGAAATTTGGCAACATTTGGTAGAGGTGCTTTTTATTCAAGTTCCACAGTGGCACAGCAGAGTGAGGTCAGGCAGGACATCAGTACTGTTATTTTGGCTACTGAATAAATTGTTTTATGACTGTATGTCTTTTTGCCATTCCAGGTTATAATGCATATTTTTTGTTGACTATCCTTGATACCACAGGTAATTCTCTTAATCTGGCCAGTTGAGTTTTATAACATGCTTACAGAGCTCTCCTATTAAACATAAGCTTGTTTTAAATTCTAACAGAACAAAATGTATGGTATTCTCAAGGTTAATTGGGAGTACCAAGTTACTTTTCCAATCCATACGTTTCTGAGTTCTCAAGTTTAACATACAGAGTGTCTATCTAGACACTGGATTCACTTTTAAGATGCATGTGGAAGCAAAAGCAAGCAAAGCACTGTACAATTATGTCTGTTCTTGATTGTGGTGATATCAGGAACAATATCATGTGATGCCAAATTAACTACCAGCTATATAAATTAAAGCGTTTCAACCATAAACAGTGTTAAAAACCCACTTGAATACTGTGTGACAAAGTTTAGCTTTAAGCCATGCAGCAGGAGACATGATCTACCCTCTGGGCTTACCATAGCTGTACGCGCTGCAGCTGCTGGCTCCATTCAGTAGAACAGTATCAGGAGGGGTGCATAAGATGGCGGCCAGTGCAGTCGAAAACATTTGCAGCTAAAGGGAAAAACTTATTTTTTCCCACTCAAAACCTAATAATTTACTCATACTAATGTAGTAATCTGATTATTCACAGAATCAGAATATTGTTTACTTTTATTTACCAGAGCGTATTTTGTCTTTATGGTGATGCATTAAGGTATTTGTTTTCGTCACATGATAAATCATTAGGTAATTTCATAGTTTATTATAATGAGTTAAAATATGCAGTTGCACAGTGTTATAACCATTTTATATGGGTGTTGCGGAATTTATTGTTTGTATCTCATATTCAATTATTTCATAATGTTTTGAGTGTACCACAAAAGAAGACAACCGGAAAAAAAGAAGAAGAAGGGAGATGATGCACGAAGCGGGCGAAAGAGAACGGGACAAGGTATGGCAATGGCCGCAGAGGGCGTGTGTCTGTGAAATATTCAAAACAGAAGGAAAGTGCTCAGATTCGATCCTCAACAAACCTGGACAACTGTTCCTGCTCCGACGGACTGCAGAAGAGTTCGGGAAAAACCCACGCTGCAAGGGAGTGAGTGGAACTGTGTTGTCAAAAGACAAAGCTGAGAAGGTTGAGCTGAGCTAACGCTAAAGCTAGCGCTGTAGTATATGTGGAGATTACTCTGCCGAGAGCCATAGGGAGGCTGACGGTGTTGCTGCCGGAGACTCAACACTCGCCTGCGTGGGACGACGACAGGACCGTGGGGTTTCCGGGTGCGGACGGTCTGTGTTCTTGGGCTGGTAAGGAGGAGTTTCATCGCACTGGTAGGATTATTGCATTAGATTTGAATGAACACGAGCTCCAACGCGCGCAAACACATGCTAGCATAAGACCCTAAGAGTGCACTCAGGTTGACTGTGGGGTTGAAATATTATTTGTTGTTCGAACTGTATAAAACTGTAACCTGTGTTTTGTTTCTTTTAGTTAATACACAAAGTTAAATTGCATTTGGTGTGTGTTTTTCATTTATATACTGTGAAACAGTCTCTGGAAAATGTATCCGTAAGTTACAGGTAACGGATGTACATATTCTGGTTATTTAATTTAATGTCATTTCAGGGGTCTCTCTAATTGGTGTTTTAAAGGTGAGAACCATACTGAACCCTAGACAAAGTTGTTATACATTGGAATGTCCCTTTGCCAATTTATGTTATTTGAGCTTGAAGGGGTATATACTAACTAGTCACTCCCTTGCTACAACGAGCCGGGTGGCAAAAGGGTTACATTCCATTTCCATATTTATTCCATCCAGGTGTTCTTTGCTTCTGTCTCACCTCTCCTGATGTATCGGATCACCTCGGCCTTGCACTGCACCCCCACACTCTCCCAGTTGTTGGTTCGCTCCAGGTAAAGTGTGGCGATGAGTGG